TGTTAGCCTCAAGTAGAAGAGAGCAAGCAACCAGGCCACAATTGTTGGAAGGGTGGATAATGCCATCCCCAGGATAAATCTCTACCTGATGCTTAGTGCAATACGTTATGGTAACACTTATCAACTGGATAGCGATTTATCCGTTGGATAGCGTTATCCGCCCTTTGAAAAACTGGGATCAGCTGCCTTTCAAACAAGACCGGTTAGTGTAAATAGAGAAATATCGTTCAAAAGTTTCTCGCCTTTTGATAGTGCTCCAGATAAACACTTGGAGGTTTGTTTAGTTTTTCTGTGATCTTTCCTAAGATATAGTGATGGAGCCAGGGTTCGCCGTCCTCGATGCCGAGCGCAGACGTGAAGCAGCTCTCAGATAACAGCAACATCTCATCACGTCGCTTAAGCAACGACGCACGGTTGTCGGAGGTCATCTCGTCTTTATCAAACTTGTCATAAAAAAACAAAAACAAAATCCAAAAACAAAAGAAAAAAAAACAGTAGAATCAAGATGCAGCTATCCTTTCGGTTTGCTACAGCATCGATACCACTTTCAACATTCACCACTAAAAGTTCGTTTTGTAATACCAGACGCAAAAAGGCAGAGAAGGTTTTGGAATAAGGCTGTTACATGCATGTGACATTCGACAATCCGAGTCCACCCTCCACATTATAACAGCGAAACTTTTTGAAACCAAAACTTCTTAAACGTACGTCGACAACAGTCTTACCAACACCGGTATTACCTAATGAAATTAAAAATCGACTTACTAGTATTGCGGGTTTGAATATCACACAATAAAAAATTAAAAAATTGCACCTACCTGATTTAACTGCCTGGAGGCATGGGAGTATAGCATGTAACAGAGTGTTCCATACTGCAGAACGAACAGAACAGGAACAATTGATACAACATTTTTACAAGTTATTGAAACAATTCAAACCATCAACTGGCCGTAAAAATGCTCCTCTTTTCTAATACATGGGTCAGATGCAGAGGAGGTCTGATATTCAGGTAAACCGTTTAACCCTTAGAAGGGACTAGCATCTTACTTTC